ATAACAACATATATTTCTTGGAGTCGCCATAGTGTTGCACAAAATTTAAAAAATGTTACTTTGCGCTAAAAATAAAACTGCAACTTTGCACAATCTCGCTAAAAACTGCAACTCTGCAACTTCACGCGCACTGCGTATAATGTTACATATCGCGGGACATACTAAAAAACATATGTGGAACTATACGTATTTGCTGTAATTTATTCTATGAAAATATGTACTGTGACGTGACACTTTTCGTGTCCGTCACAAGGTCATATTTTTGGCCGGCACAGGAGGCAGTGAGCTCGCGTCTTCCATGATGTAAGGAAGAGCAGCTCGTTAGGCTGCGTAGCGCAAGCGAGCGTGCCAAATTTTGCGAAGGCGCGTGGCGACTATGTGTGATACATGGCGAATATTTGATATGTTATGACGTATGTTAATTTATTGTTTTTATTATTTTCAGCTTCTTGTACAGTGTTCAACTGCGTCTTGATTATCATTTCTGGTGCCGTGCGAGCCGCTTGGCGGCTGTTTTGTAATGTATTTCCAGAGCGGAGAGAGCGAGAGGGAGCGCAGTTCATGTTACGTAGCGTCGGCAGAGGTAGAGCAAAGAGGAAAAGGAGAGACTCAGACAACGGTGCAGGAGCGTACGGATATTCTAAGCAAGGCGCTCGGCGAAAATGTCGGTGGCGGATTAAAAAAAAACGGGAGACGCTAACACTCCGACTTCGTGAAAACCGGAGCGGAACTCCTTATGGAGTTTTTGGTCCCATGAGGCAAAAAAATAAGCCAATGGAAGCCTATCTCCACGGAAAATAGAACGGGCCGGATGCGGCCAGAAAAGGGTCCAAGGCGACACGCTGCTGAGACGCACGTGGCCGCTGTCAATCATAGCGCTGCAAAGGGAAGAATATGATTGGCTCATTAGACAGCGCGAAGAACAGCGCACGAGAAGAGCAATTGCCAAAGGAGTTGAATTCATTGTTGTACGTGCCGCAAACGGCGTGAGTTCCTCGCTTCTTGAAGTGCCAAAGTACTAGAGTGTAGTGAGTGGCGAGGACACCTGAGGAGGATCGAGAGACGTCCTTTCCTCGAAGGAACCGGACGAGATCTAGAGGCTGCCGCTTTCCAAGATTACTTACCAAGAAAATTCGCGAAGTGGGTGCCGACTTACGTGAGTGACTGCTCGCTGTCTCTCTCTCGCATATTTTGCATATATTATACGGTCGTGGATCGAGTCTGCACGTAAATCGTCAGCTCGATGTCGCGCGGTATATCTGCGTTTCAATTACTCGGTACTTCCAAAAAATTATTATAATAATTGTTGCCGAAAATCTCGTATATTTGTTGCTCTCTCGTCGTACCGCGGTCACAACAATCCGGGCTTAATACAGCTCGTCATTCGTGCGTGTGATGTTTTTATTTTGTTTGTATTTGTGTTGTCGTATATCTTTGTACCGATTTCGTTCGTGATAACCGTCATTGCGCGTGTAATCTAGAAAGTTAAAAAATCTTCCAGTGATATTACAGTCGACACCATAAATTGCAAGTGCGAAAAGCGCTGAAAATCGTAGCCGTCGGACCGCGACCTTGCGTGCGGTGCTCATTGTCTAGCGCGCGCTAAACAAAGATCACACGTATATCGCGCGCCGCGTCTCGCGCTCAGCGTACGGCAGCGCATTCCTTTGCAGAGATAAGATCTCGCGGTCATCATCATGCGACAATATAAAAAAATACGGACACGAATACGAGCAATTAGAATAACCGCGGATTACTTTCGTTAACTTAATTGCTGTTCATAAGCGCGTCACATTTGTAACGTTTTGCCGCGTCTTCTGGTTGTATTTTCTTTTCTTTTTGGTTTTTTATATGTTGTATTGTACTGCAGATATCCGATATCATTGGCAAAATATTTTTAATAAGATTATATGGTAAACATTCAGAAAAACGGAGCACATTTGAAAGTCAATAACCTTATCATATGTTGTCAAGGACACGTTCCTGAACAACAATTTGCAACTTTTAGCCGTCGCTCCCCCCTGAAGTGCGTGATCGAGGATAGTTCCATCAATATTCCGCGTTCTGCTCTCTCTGACGGTATTCGAGCAGTTGGTTTGTGTACGTCTAGAAATCTTCCGTTTGTTTTGTTATTTTGTCATTGGTGTGTCACTTGCGATAAATCAGTTCCGTCCGCGAAATAAAGCTGTCATTTTCTCATTAACTCAGGACGGTTCGCTCTTTCTTGCAATGTTATCCTACACAACTCCCGCTCCTGCGTTTGAAAACTTGTCTGAACTAGCCAATGCGCTTCTCGCGGCCGTCACATCTTACGATTAACTGACAAAATTATTTGTTAATTTCGGTGATACGTTCTTGCGTATCTAGCACTCAATTTTCAGAAAGCTAGCTAGTAAAAATTCAGGATCCCGCGAGACGTGATGTTTTGTGCCGTTTAAAAGATCTGTCCAAATTCACCCGGACACTGAAAAAAAAGAATAACGGTCACAATATATATGTATATATATATATATATATATATATATATATATATATATATGTATATGTATTTTGTGACATGACACTTTTCGTGCTCGTCACAATAATGCATTTCCGGCTGGCACAGGAGGCAGTGAGCTCGCGTTTTTTAGTAGTTAAGGAAAAGCAGCTCAGTAGGCTGCGTAGCGTAAGCAATTGCGCTTACTTT